TCCTGTTGTGTGTGTTTATTACTGAGGGATTCTCTGTGCTCTCCTCTCTCTCACTGTGTCTCCTGTCCTGTTGTGTGTCTTTATCACTGAGGGATTCTATGTGATCTCCTTTCTTCCACCGTGTCTCCTGCTCTGTTGCTTCTGTGTGCTTATTACTGAGATAGTGCTGCTTTTCTGTCACCAGTGAATCACCAGTGAAACTCAAACAACTTAAAATGCCCAAGGCCATGTAACAGGAAGTGCCGTGGGGAAGCATATCAGTGTCGGGCTGGCTTGCCCAGACCTGCGCAGCAGTTTTGGGCTCCCCCAGCCCCTCCTGCTTCCCTCGCTCCCCCTGTCCCAGCAGTACAGCAGGCCCGTTCTGTCCCTTTTCTGGGCTGCGATTCTCCCCCGTCTCTCTTTCTCTCCTTCTGTTCACTCCTTCTTTCCCCCGGGTGTCGGTTTCAGCTCTCGATCTGTATTGTCTCCTCTGTCGCTCTCCTGTGCGTCTCTCGCCTGCGCTGTCGTCAGTATTGGCAGGCCTGCTCCTGCCAGCTGATACCAGCATTCCCTGGCAGGGGGCCAGCTGACGCTGTGCGGGGGGGGGCAGAGAGAGGAGGGTGAAAGGAAGGGGGGAGGAGAGAGGGGAGCGGAAGCAGGGAGAGAGTGAGAAAACAACAACAGCAGATAGAGGACTGCAGTGGGAGGGAGAGGGCCTGTTCACTGAGAAGTGTTTTCCGCAATGCCTGTACCTTCTACACTGCTGTCACGGCGCTGTGTCTCACTTGCACTGTTCTGTGTCTCACTCTCACTGTGCTGTCTCACTCTCACACTGCTGTGTCTCACTCTCACAGTGCTGTCTCACTCTCACTGCACTCACTGCCACTGTACTGTGTCTCAATCTCACTGCGCTGTGTCTCACTCTCACTGCACTGTCTCACTCTCACTGTGCTGTCTCACTCTCACTGCGCTGTCTCACTCTCAGAGTGCTGTGTATCACTCCCACAGCACGGTGTCTCACTCTCTTTGTGCAGTGTCTCACTCTCACTGCGCTGTCTCACTCTTAATGAACCGCACCTCAGTCTTACTGTGTTGTATCTCACTCTCACTGTGCTGTGTCTCACTCTTAATGCACTGTGTCTCACTCCCACTGCGCTGTGTCTCACGCTCACAGTGCTCTGTCTCAATCTCACTGTGCCGTATCTCACTCTCACAGTGCTGTGTTTCACTCTTAATGCACTGTGTCTCACCCACTCCGCTCTCTCACTCTCACAGTGCAGTGTCTCACTCACTGTGCAGTGTCTCACTGTCACTGCGCTGTCTCACTCTCACAGTGCTGTGTCTAACTCTCACTGTGCAGTGTCTCACTCTCACAGTGCTGTCTCACTCTCACAGCGCTGTGTCTCACTCTCACTGTGCAGTGTCTCACTGTCACTGCGCTGTCTCACTCTCACAGTGCTGTGTCTCACTCTCCCACACTGACACTGGTCATGCCTGTTTCAGCATGCTATCACTGTGTCACTGTACACACTGTGCTGAACACTTCATCGATCACTGACCGGGGCCTGACCCCCAGCAGCAGCCCCCCGCAGGGAGACAACACCACCCGCGCCTGAAAGCCCCCAGCGGGCGAGAGCTGCGGCGTGTGGCGTCTCCGGCCGTCACACATTGTCTCAGCTGGTGTATGTGCTCAGGAAGGGGTGTGTGGGGAAGCGGCTGCATCACGCGCCCATCCTGTTTGGGATAGTGAATGTCCTGTGCCGACCCACGTCTATAGACGGTCTGGGGGGGCCTGTGTGCATTAACCTCTTCCTGGCCTCCCCGCGCAGCTCGGGATCGCAGATCCCGCGAAGACGTCACCCTCTGGGCCCCGCTGGGGGGTCGTCGGCTGTTCCTTTTCAATAACGCGCAGAGGAACAAAAATGCTTTATTTGCTTATTTGCATGTGGGCTCCAATACCAAGACATGAAGGAAACACTGAAAACATAAACACAGAACAGCAGCTGCAACAACACGTTAAATAACACTTTCCAGCATGGAATAAACCTTTACTTGTTCCTTTGCAAGTTAAATAACATGCAGCTTGAAAAAAACACCCCAGTGTGAGCCAGGGGTGGAGGGGTGGAGTTCAGTCATCTGACAGCTTGTGGGAAGAAAGTGTCTCTGAATCTGGACGGACAGGGTACGTGTCTTTCTGCTCTTATAACGCTCACCAGAGGGCAGGGGGGAGAAACCAGCATGCCTGGTGTCCTTAGCGATACTCCCAGCATTCCTGAGAGAGGGAGCTGTAGAAATGTCCGAAATAGATTCCTTGAGTCTAAAATGAAACGGGCAGTGTGAGTAGCTCAGAGGAAATCCTTCTGGGTACATGAGAGCAGGGCTATATTTAAGGAAACTGTTTGTGATGAAGAAAAAGGAATGATCTCAGCGTGCTGGCACAGGTTGAGCAGATCGCACTACGTCATGCGGGAGTATCGCCCAGTAGCTACAGGTCTCTGGAATAGGAGCATAGCGGTACCGATCCTGACCTCTTTTCCTGATCGTCCCTGGTCGATTTCCTGATCCTGTCTTGCGGGAGGGTCAGACAGAGAGCTTCGGAGTGATCTGGTTATGACTGGGCTTTTTGGGGTCATGTGAAAGATGCTGATTGAGAGCTTAAGTCCAGTTGTCCACATATGATGGGACTCAGGCCTGGGTTATGTCATTGACCCCCCTGAGTTGGGCGCTTATGGTATGGGTCACCAAGGGTGTCCTGGGCTTTGCCAGCAGTTATCCCAGGGATTTTCCATGCACTTGGGAAATGGCGGGAGCTGTATTCTGGGGTCTCCCTGTTTGAAGAAAGCTGGGGGAGTGCGGTGCACTCTGTTCTGAGTACCCCAAGCAGGTGTGAGCCAGTACTTGGATGGGGGACCTCCTGGGAAAAACTAAGGCTGCTGCTGAAAGAGATATTAGAGGGACCAGTAGGGGGCGCTCACCCTGTGGTGACTCTCTGTGGTCATTAAAAATCCAGGGTGTTTCTCGAAAAGAGTAGGGGTGTTACCCTGGTGTCCTGGCCAAATTTCCCCCTGGTCTTTACCAGTCATGGCCTCCTAATAATCCCCCTCTCTGAACTGGGTTCATCACTCTGCTCTCGTCCCCACTGAGAGCTGGTGTGTGGGGAGAGCACTGGTGCACTATGGCTGCTGTTGCATCATCCACGTGAAGGCGAAACATTGGTGGGGAGCGTGGGATTTATTATGACCTCTTAAGTGCTTTGAGTGGAGTGTCCAGAAAGGTGCAAAGAACTAATACCCCATGTTCTCTTGCAAAGGGGTGCTGACAAGACAAGCTGATGTAACTGTTGCCAGGTCAAAAACTGGAGGTGGGGCTGACTGAAAGGAGGGGGACGCTTGTTACAATATCGGCAGGACATAACCCGTGACCTGTGTTGTGTGTTGTGTTTCCTGGGGCAGAGGAACGCCAGAGGTGGCCTAGGAGATCGGAGACAGAGACAGAGACAGGATCGTGACACTTCAGTCCGTCTCTCGCCGCTGACCAGAGAGCCTGGGGCATGGGCCGCCCATCGCACTGGTAGGCTCGCCGAGGGCTGTAGTGGGAACGGGCTGCTGAAGCACTTTTCAGGCAAGGGCAAACACACGGCAGGCATGACCGACGTGACGCTGGCAGGCCTGTTCACCCGCACAGCAGACAAGCTGGACACGAGACGTCATGCAGTTCTGAACCGAGGTGGTCATAACTGTCACGGGGTTATTGAGATCACAGCCGGGGTCCCGTTCCTCGAGGAGCTCCTCCACGCTGGAGATCGCAGCCGGGGTCCCGTTCCGGGAGGAGCTCCTCCACGCTGGAGATCACAGCCGGGGTCCCGTTCCGGGAGGAGCTTCTCCAAGCTGGAGATCACAGCCGGGGTCCCGTTCTGGGAGGAGCTCCTCCACGCTGGAGATCACAGCCGGGTCCCGTTCCGGGAGGAGCTCCTCCACGCTGGAGATCACAGCCGGGTCCCGTTCCGGGAGGAGCTCCTACACGCTGGAGATCACAGCCGGGGTCCCGTTCCGGGAGGAGCTCCTCCAGCCTGGAGATCACAGCCGGGGTCCCTTTATAGTTTGAGCCCCTCCATCCTGGAGATCACAGCCAGGCTAACTGTCCCTTTCTTTCTCTCCCTCCCAGAGAATGGAGTCACCCATGGAGAGTGTCCCGACGCTCTCTAAGCCCCCTGTTGCCTCCCCCCCTCCTTCTCCGTCCCAAGACAACAGCCCCGAAGATCCCCCCATTTCCCCTTTAACCGTCCTCTCTCCAGGATACCCCCTATCCCACTCCCCCTCTCCCTTTCCGGATGATGACGAAGAAGAAGATGACGACGAAGAAGACGAAGAAGATGAGGATGATGACGAAGAAGAAGAGCCTTCTGTTCCTCCCTCCCCCACCCCAGCTGTCGCCCTCTTCCTGGGCGGAGCCGATCCGGGCAGCCCGATCCCGGAGGAGAATGATTCCGATCCTCTCCCTTATTCCCTCCCCATTTCCCAGCCGCCCGGTCCTGGCGCGGACCGGATCCTGGGGTTCGGGGCTCTGGAGGCGGCCCTGTCCGAGGCCCAGGACCCCAGCCTGAGTGACGAGCTCGACCTGCAGCTGTTCCACAACGGGCAGAGGGGAGACAGCGTGGGCA